CGTCTGCGCGATGTCACTCGCCTTTTCACATTTATCTGAAGGGATTTCCAAACTCGCCTGCAACAGTTACTCCTTCTGAATCCATTTATGCTCATGTTTGTGATCACCATAATATACATTGCTTATTATGCCTCAAATCAATCCTCCATTTCCAATACTCACAATGCAAAATTATACCATTGGAAATGCGCCAACAGCTTCATATCCATCTGTCTGTGATAGGCTCTTTCATGCAAATCAGGCAAAAGGGGATGTGAGTGACAACAATGCTGCTGCCTGTGTGCCGCGAATGAGAGTAGAATGTTGAGCACCGCATCTGTTAGAGCACGTGATAACTCTGTGTTGTGGTACAAATACCATCGTCCATCGTTTGTAGAGAAGCCATCTTTCAATTTCTTGTGCTTCAGTTAGCAGTTGGGTACAAAAGTGGAATTGACACGCTGGGATATACTGCTAAAAGCATCCTCTTGTATTGGTGTAATGGTGGAATTCACACGTCCCATGCATTCGATCTACCCATAGTTTGTCTTAATTTAGTCAAGCCGACAGCTAAACGTGGGCGTTTGGTGCGGTCCACTTGAGCGATGAAAGCCACGTTGGCCAATTTCATCAGCCAAGCAAGAAAAGTCGTGGAAACATTGGATAAGCAGGCGACTGAACTGCGTATGGTTATAATAAGCAGGCCAATTTCTCAGGAGACAGCATCAGACGATGCACATAGCAAGGTTTGGTAGTAGAGATGTGTCCTACTGCAATGGCTTACATTGCCAAGTATGCAACTGTCTAAATTAATTCGTTTCCTCCCAACGTCACAATGAGTGTCTGTCAGTAGCCACGCCTGTTTGTGTTTCCTTGTTTCCGGAATTCCGGCTGAAGAAACGCGTTGTGCATTTGTGGTGGTTTGGACACAAAACGCAGGACAGACGCATCGAGTTGTGAAGGAGGTTTTCACATGAGAATTCACATTTGCAGGACGATATACCCACCTGTTTCATTACACTTTATAACAGCAAACTTGCAATTGAGAGGATTTAGAAGGATGAATGTAGTTGAGGAGTCAGAAAAATGAGGTGGTGAAAGCAACTGGCCGAGTGGAATCACTGTACACGTAAAATCTGCTGCCTGTGAGGCATATGGGATACATTCCATTGCCGGCGCCACGCAGTGGCAACAAATGCTGGTATCAGTCCTCCTTCTGTTTCCACACCAGTAGTTTGTTGCATGAAGTGAAGTGGGCATTCAACTCCACTATGCTGTTGCCTCAGGTTTACCCAACTTGAATGAACACAGAGTGACAGGAGAATGACAAACACTTGTGAAGACCAGTGGTCGTGGCAAAGGCGATGCATGTGTGAGGAGGTTCCCGCTGCTGCCAATGGAGGGACTGCGTGCATGGCATTTTTCCCACGAGTAGCGGAGGCTGTAGGAGAGGCGATGCTAGTCTGCCAGTTATAGCCACCACCTCCTATGATTGACCTCTCAACCAAGTGCAGTCAAGTCGCTGCATCCAATTGGCAGTTTGGTGTGACAAAATTTAAACAGAGTTGGGAGGTGTAGTAGTTTGCAGCGGAATTCTCCTCGTCAATTACCCCTTATCACAATCCACCTTTCACAATCAAGTTGTAGATATTGAGAGGAGCAAAGGTTAGGCAGAGTGTAAGGGTAGTGCCAATGTCACTATTTTACTATGGCAGAAGGATTCGCTTGACAGTTTTTTAAAGTATGTGGTAATTCCTCTTTGCACCCAAGTGAAAACAGAGGGCGGTAAAGGATGAAGAATAATGTGTTAAAAGATGGTGAATGCATGTGACCCTCATCATTGTTGGCAAGTACACGACACGCTTGAATGCTTGGATGCTGTCACATGCTGGAGAGGAGGTCAGGCTGAACCTCCCACACAGTCTGCATCGTAGCAGTCAAGTTGTGGTGGCAAAGTTGTTGT